CACAGGCAGCAAAACTCACAAATGAACTGCACAGATGTGTGCCTCATCCATTAATCCCTTATGCCTTTAGTGCAGTGTTACAAACAAAAATAGATAGTAATTGGTACTCAAGGAATGGATCACTGACAGACACAAAAGCAATAAGCTGTTTCCTGGGAGCAGCTGCTGAAGAGTGGTCTTTATTTCTGGAAACTCCCACCTGACTCATTGGAAGAATGCATTCATTTGCTCTCTATCAGTGTAAAATCAAAAAAAGGTTAGTTGGGCAGGAAGAAAAGCAATTTTATAAGTCATCTCTGAGGAACAGATTCACCATGATGGGAAAGAACCGATCATTTTTCAACCCCTCTCTCCATGTTCAAACCATCATCTCATTCCTTCATAAAATAATTTCCTAAGAAGAACTGAAGAATCAGAAATCTTTCTCTGTAGCACAAACACAAATTTTTGATCCTCAGTATCACTTGTGTAACTGGAAGAATGAAATAGAATGGGACCATCTAGAGTCAGTGGTTGTGTCTGACTGTTTTTTTTAGTTTGAAAAAAACTCTTCAAAACCAAAAAAAAAAAATATATAAAAGGAAATAAACATGGAACTTTTCTAGCTGAATCAGGTGAAAAGTCTGTATCATCCATGCCCACTCCATGACCGAAAGGCAAACTGCAGGAGTCTTTTGGCTCTGGAAGTCATCCTGAAAATCATTGACTCAAGAAAAACATTGAGAAAAAAATAAAGGATGACAGGGACAGGTAAAAGACATTTTTACGCACAGTACTTCTGTTAGCTTTATGTTACTAAACAAATACTCAAGGTAGTACAATTTATCATGATCAAAAGTTTCTTTTGGTCAGATGTGTGGAAGGCCATCATCGCATGTGATATGAGTTACCTCGCTGGCTGGGCGAGAGGCGCTTAGGCACATCTTGTGTCCAGAGCTTTCCCCATCCTTCTCAGGTCCGAGGGCTTGTCCGTGTGAAGGCGTGACTGGCCACTACCCAGAAGACCCAATCATCACCCTTGACCTTGGGACACTGCCCCCCTTAATCTTCATTGGATGGGATTTTCCCCAGAAATTTTTGTTCCCCAATAAAAGTCCACTCCCTAGCATGTTCTCTCTCTCTTGCTAGCCTCTTCAGTAAACCTTGCTACCATAATAGGTGGCTGGAGGCTGGAGCTAGGAAAAGCCTTCCTGGAGCTGGTTTAAAGGTAATTAGAGTCTCTTTAATTCAAAACTCCCTAGAGGTTTCTCACACTGTGAACCTTCATTTATGAAGCCTATACTGGCCGAGGGCTAAACAGGTGCAGTGGTACATGTCTGTAATCCCAACAATTTGGGAGGCCTAGGCAGGAGGAACATAAGGTAACATGACAACTTAACAAGGAACCTAAGCAACTAGGCGAGATCTGTCTCAAAATTTTAAAAAGGCTGGGGGGTGTGGCTCAGTGATTAAGCATCCCTGAGTTCAATTTCCTGTACCAAAAGAGTAAAACAGGGTTTTTTTTGGCTCACAGTTTCATAGATGCCTGACCCATAGATGTCATTGTTTTGGACTGTGATGAGTTAGCACATACTGATGGGAGTAGGTGGTAGAACAAAACAGGTCACCTCATGACCTGGAAATAAAAACAGAACACGGAAGAGGAAGAGATCAGGGTCCTATAATCCTTTTTAGGGCACACTCCAAATATTTAAAGACCTCTCAAAAGGCCCCATTACTTCCACATTCTACCACCTTTCAAATATGCCAACTTGGGGACCAAGTTTTTAATATATGGGCCTTTGAAGAGGGCTTTTAGGATTTAAATTGTAACCAAAGTATTATTTCTTCTATGTAAATACATTGTGCCTTATGCTCACTTAACTCTCTCACAAATTCTTCATAGCTAAATGGTTTTTAAAAATTCACTTCTTACCTTTATTCTGGTAATTCTCTAGTAACATTCTCTTGGCTTAACATTTTCCAGCCCACATAGAAGAAAATCTCTGATTTCAATGTTATATGAGACCCTTCTATAGTTCAGTTCTTTTCTAGCTGCCTGATTTCCAACCACTGATGTCCTACTCCCTCCACATGCTTCTGGTTCACATGTCCAGCAGGTAGTTCATGTTTCAGGCATCCAAGCTCCCTGGTTGCTTTCACAAATCAAGACTTGGAAATGATCAATATTTAACAGATAAGTTTAAATGGAAACAATGTGTGCATGCAGGCAAATGAGTCTCAAATTTCTTTGAAGATGCAGGCCTTAGAGAATCCTTTCAAAACTCTCTACAGGACTGGATCAAGATGGTGAAAGTGAGGGAGGCTACAGGTTTCAACTCCACAGTTTGGAATCAAAGCAGTGAGAAAACTGCATAATGGAGAGGTGGGTGAGAGAGAGAATGAACCGATTCAGAATACTGAGCTATCAGAGCATTGTAGGGATTTGAAAATTTTGGTTACTAGAAACAAAAAACAGAAAAGAATTTGTTACACAAAGGGCAGTATCTGCAGCATCAGGGCAGGTCTGGGGAGAGGGATAAGACATGGAGAAAAGAGAGACAAAGCTGACAAGCTTAGTTCAGAAAAAGCAGTAGAAGAGAGAGAAAGAATTAAGCTGGTGCAGGAGTTGCAAAAACACATGTTGAGCAAGAAGTGCTCTATTCTCTCAATTTGCCAGTGGAGAAGAGTAGTGGGCAGCCTGTTTATAGCCTGTGACTTGGTTTCTCCTCTGATTATATTTTCCTATAGTGTAATCCCTCCCTTTGCTGATTTTCATCATTGTTTTTCACTTCCTCTTCTTGGAATCTTTTGCTGAGGATGTTCTATAGTGCAGGCTTTCTAGTTGTAAATTCTTTTAATTTTTGTTTATCATGGAAGGTTTTTATTTCATCATCAAATCTAAAGTTTAGTTTTGCTAGATATAAGATTCTTGGTTGGCATACATTTTCTTTCAGAGATTGGTATATGTTGTTCCACGATCTCCTGGCTTTGAGGGTTTGGGTTGAGAAATCTGCTGAGATATGAATTGATTTCCCCCTAAATGTGATCTGATTCCTCTCTTTTGCAGCTTTTAAGATTCTATCCTTATTCTGTATGCTAGGCATTTTCATTATAATATGTCTTGGTGTAGACCTGTTGTAATATTGTACATTTGGTGTCCTGCAAACCTCTTGTATTTGGTTTTTCCATTCGTTCTTCATGCTTGGGAAATTTTCTGGTATTATCTCATTGAGGAGATTGTGCATTCTTTGGTTTGAAACTGTATGCCTTCTTGTATCCCAATAAGTCTTAGATTTGGCCTTTTGATGCTGTCCCATAATTCTTGGATGTTCTGTTCTTGGTTTCCTCACTTTCTGCACTGTGTGATCAACTTTATTTTCCAGATTGTATATTTTGTCTTCATTATCTTATGTTCTTTCTTCCAAGTTATCTAGTCTGTTGGTTATGCTTTCTATTGAGTTTTTTATTTGATTTATTATATCCTT